TTAGTAGAACTTTTTTCTGACTGAATGGTACTCAGAAGCATCACCTCCAGTCTTTCTGAGGTCTTAACAACGGATTTAATAATTACATCTTTCGATTCACCTTTAGACCATGTTTTCCTGGAAGTGTCCTTTTCTGTGTCCTTTTGGATTCCATCTTTGCTATAAGTCATTTTTTTTAATTTATTTAAAGTCATTTCTTAATGTAAATATCATTTGTCATCTGAGAGGCTAGGAATTTTCAAAACCATAAAGTCCTGTTTCCTTTTTGTTTAACTGTCCTTACTTCAGCTTATCTCTGTCCTCTTACATTTTACTATAAGCAGCAAGAAGTAGTATCTTCAGTACCATCAACACTCTCTTAAAAAGTCTCCTTAGTCACATGACCCAGGTCATTAGGTACCCTCTCTGCTTCTCACATTACTTCAGGCAATAGTGTGGCTACACTTCCTGCTCTTACATAACAAGAAGACCATTTCTCCCAATTTCCAAAGTGTTTACTTCATTTTCCTGCAGGACTTTATTCACAGGCTCCTCCAAGTGCCTGAGGCTTCTGCTACCAGTTTCTTCAAAGCTCTCCAAGCTTTTGCTAACACTGTCCTCAAAGTTCTCCCAGCTTCAACCCATTACCCAGTGCTCCTGCTCCCTTCATCATTTCCGGTTGTGGTCAGAGCTGCAGCCACTTCCAGGCACTAAAATCTATATTGTTCATCTATTGCTACATAACAAATAATCCCTAAATTTAATGGCTAAAACCAAAAATCATTAGAGTCAGGAATTCCGGAGCAACTTAGTAGGGTAGCCTTGGCTCAGAGTCCCTCATGTCAAGGTGTTGATCAGCATTCCAGTGTCACCTGAAGTCTGTGTAGGGCTAGAAGTTCCACTTCCAAGATGGCTCATTCACATGACTGTTTGCAGAAGATCTCCGTTCCTTCCCATGTGGGCCTTTCCATAGGTATGATGGGTGTCCTCACAACATAACAGCTAGTCTCTCCCAGAGCAAATGATCCAAGTGAGGACAAGGAGGAAGCCACGATGTTTTTATGATTTAGTATCAGAAATCACACATCATTACTTCTTCCACATTCTATTGGTAAAAATCAAGCCTAGATACTGTCCCTGCTCGGGCCAAAAGGAGTTGCACACCACATTTTGAAGAGAGGAGCATCAAATAGTCTTAGACATTTTAAAAACAAACACAGACCCCTTCAAATCAGCGACTCTCTAAAGGACTTTCTAAAGGAGTTTGAAGTCTTGCAACTGTTGAACTGAGAGGGAAAGAGGGGGGAAAATTGACCATTTTAACTGGCTAACTTAAAATCCCATTTGAATTTACAGCTTTGCCAGATCTCTTTTGTGAAGATAGAGCATTCCTTGGGAAGGAGTGTGACCCTGAATGCTGAAATGTGAACACACGGGAAGATTCAGATGGCTTCTGGTTCCCGGAGCTCCCACACCTATGGAAACACACTGTTCAGATCTGCTGCCAGAGTATGACTGATGGACACCCAGTGGCTGCCCACCCTTGCACTGAGGCCGTGGTCCCAGGCTGCTCCCAACCAATGACAGAGCACGTGAAGTACCAAGGCAGATCCCTTCCTGCAAGATATGAGAATCCACATTTTGGCGACTTTGCCTTGAAGACTCCCCGTTGGCCTGGCCAAATCCTTATTTGAATTGTGCTGTAGCTCAAGCTTCTTCCTCCCCCGATCCTCCTTCCTTCCCTCTCTCCTTCCACGGGCATCACACATGAGTCATAGTCTAAAGGCTCTTCCTATGTTCTCTGCTCCCTCTCTGAGGAAATCGCTCAAACTTCTAATCCCATTTTGCCATCTGCTCCTTGGCAGACCCAAACTAATGCAGCCTCCCTCGTCGGACAAATCCTCCCTATCCCCCATGTGGGAGGCTTTTCTCACCCTGCAGAAGACTCTGTAATGACCGCAGCAGAAATAATCTGGCCAGAGGTTGGGGTAGCCAAATCTCTTCGTCCTCCACTGCTAACACCCCTCCTAGCCTTGAATCTCACCATCAGTAATGTGCTAGAGACAGTTTGTACCAGATCACAAGAGCCAGTTGAGACATTTTCAGGAATTTCGTGAGCTGCTTGATAAACACGGTCATTATTAAAACTTAAATATACTTACAGTTAAGTAAGTTACATTAACAACAAAGATAATAAAAACTCAAAAACTTGTAGCAATGTAGTTATTAACAACCTTTTATTAGGATCTATGCCCTTGGAGTTCCTTACATCTCATATCTGGGCATCGGAAAGAACGTGTAACGGTGTGCTACTTGCGCTTGTGTTTGGAGACTGAAGGCCGGATTTAGATGTGCTGTTTCAGCTCATTTCTTCCGTCAGCTGAGAGGTTGGCATCGTGGAGAGCAGCTTGAAGCAAGAGAAGCCTTGTAGCCGGTCCAGGAAGCTCTGCCCCCTGATCCAAGGAATCCAGTGGATTTGAAACACCTGTGGCAGATAGGGCTGGCGCACGGAGCTTTGGCACGTCCAGAAAGCCGAGGCCGAGCACAGGCCCCAGGGTTTTGCAGCCCAGCGGTGAACTCTGTAAACTATAACTAGTCTCCTTTGGACAGGCCAATCTTGGTTTGTGGCCTGGCACCAATAGGTACAGCGGCCTGATCGTGAGCCATTAGGCAACCAGGCAACTGGTGCCCATTGTAAACACGGGTTCACCTGATCCACTGCGCCATGAAGTCAGCTAACATTCCATGTGTCTACACAACGTGCCAGGCTCTGTTCCACGCAATTTACTTCTAACATCCCCTTCCATCTTCACCACAGTTCTGGAAGGCAGTTCTGTTATTTTGCTGCTATCCCTACTTCAGCTGAGAAAATTGATACAGAGAGAGGATAACTGATTGGCCCCCCTGCTCATATAGCTTGTAAGTAGCAGAGCTTGGTTTGAACCCAGATCCTCTGGCCCCTACGTCCACACGTTTAATTACCAAATTATATGGCTTCTCATGATCAAGCAGGTTTCTGTGTGGGACTGGGCTTGAGCAGAAGTGGAAGAGAGAGCAGACTGCGGGGCGGGCTCGGTCTTCCCCCACTGCTGCTCTGCCTCAGTCTACACATCTGACCTAGGGATGCTCGCCCAAGTCCAGGGGACTGACCAGACCACCTGCATAAGAGGAACGCGGCTGCCGCAACTGGGCGCCCCAACACGCTAGCCCAACTCAAGGCTGGCCCTGGAGAACGACTGAGGAGAGTCCCCGTAGGCAAATCTTTAGCATCTCATCCTACTGACCACTTCGTCTGAAAGGAGACATGGCCCGAGGTGCCTCTGTCACCCATACTGGTCAGTAGCTGAGGGTTTAGCTCAGTAGCCAGACTGGGAAGGACCATGAACGCCAGGCTGGTGGTGGCGAGGATGTCTGGGAAAGGGGTGCTCAGGGCTTCTCTTGGGATGGATCCTCTAGAGGATGAGGATATTTGGCTCTTCATGCATACCCACCGAATGTCTCCACTGTAGAGGAGGTGCTCAATAATTGCATGAAAAGGCTGACCTGGCCTTTCCACGTCAGCCCACATGTTTCCCCAGGCACTCCACCGCGTGGAAGCAGAAATACAGACTCTACGCAGGTTTCAGCAACTTGGACTTCCTTTCCCTCACCTCACAGATTTACTGAATACTTAGTCACTGCCATGGTATTCATGGTATTACAGGAAGGGGCTGACACTATGGGGTTCATGCTTCTGTCATGTACTTCGTAAAGTGTCTGGACTCGCAGAGAACATGACAAAGACTCATTTGCAGCACAACCGCTACGTGGCCAGTCCTGCAAACAGATGGCTGAGAGGAAATCCCGACAGACCCAGAGGATGGAAGGTCACACCCAGAGAGTTTGCATTTGAAGGCAGATGCACTCACTCACAAAACTTTGGGATTCCATATTCTTTTAATAAACTCCCTTTTTGGTTAAATTTCACATAGTGGGTCTCATAGAGAAAGATCTAGAAAGATGTATTCCAGTGACTGAAGACTGGTTATTTCTGACTCTGTAGGAATTAGTCACAACTTCTATATTCTTATTGTTAGTTTATATTTTCTGATTTTTCTACCATGAGCACTAGCATTTTTAACAAGAAATAATCTCTGTAAAATTAATTTAAAAATATATATTATCTTGAATTTCCATTAAATTTTATGACTTATGACTTTATCTTTATGTACACATTTTATTATCAAGACTAACATGCCTAAGGGGCCTGGGGCCTGGGTGGCCTCTCGGTTGGGCGTCTGCCTTGGGTTCAGGTGGCGATCCCAGGATCCTGGGATCAGGTCCCGTGTCGTGGGTCCCTGCTCAGCGGGGAGCCTGCTTCTCCCTCTGCCTCTGCCTCTCTTTCGCTGTCTCTCATGAATAAATAAATAAAATATTAACAAATAAGACTAACGTGCCTAAAAAGGGAAAAAACTTGAGTGAACTTTATTCAAAATTAAAGAAAATAATATTCTAAAAAAAGAATAAAGGAGGTATTCACTCAAGACTAGGGAAAATAATACTATCAGAAAATGCAATAGGATAATTCTGCCTTTTCTTTTTTTTAAGATTTTATTTTTGGCTAATCTCTACACCCAGCGTGGGGCTCAGATGCACGACTCCGAGATCCAGAGTCTGATGCTCCACCCACCAAGCCAGCCAGGTGCCCCAGAGTAATTCTGCTTTCATTTATGGTTTTATTTATTTTTTACAAATAGTTGATATAACTATGTAATATTGACAATGCTACAAAAATGTGAGAAGACTGTGTGAAAATTGATCTCACCACTGATGGAATGTATAAGATACTGATTAACGGAAGCAGACGACCATTGTGAAATGCTTTTAAGTATTAAGCATGAACTTTATGGATGTTACTAGGTCAAAGTTGTACATCCATGGGACACTTACGAATTTTATTTAAGGTTTAAAAGGAGACAGAGAAATAGCCAAGTATGTAGCAAATAAAATAATCATCTTCCCAAGATTCTTCTATGCTTGAGTTATTTTATAGAGGTCTTATTACACTCACATTTACGCTCCTTCCTGACATACATCTTCGCAAGGAACTTAAAAAAAAAAAAAAAAGAGTAAACCTTCATTAGATTGGCAAATAAATTGAAATAAATTGTACAGTTTTGCCCGCAGCCTCTACCATGCCCAAATTCACAATCTCACACTCTGACATACATCCTTCTCGTACTCAAAATTTCATGTTGACAAATGAACATGATAAATGTGGGACTTTGGAAAATAGTTGTACAACATCAAAAGTATCCTGCTCCAATTCCCATTCGTTCTGTGCCCAAGTCCAGCCCGGCTCAGCTCAGCAAAGCCTCATGCTGCTCATCCCTTCTATTAAAAACCTGGGACCCATCTGTGTAGCAGAATGAAGCTGAGGGTAAGGAATAGGGTAGATGACCCAGCAGCAGACACTGGATGTGTATCAAGTACCTGAGCCCATGTAACATATGTGAGTGCGTGTGTCCAGTGTGCACAGACCTCCCGCGAATGGAAAGAATGAATGTTTACATACATGGATATAAATACATGTATATGCATATATATTTAAATAAGTAATGACATATTGAAAATATATAATATATATATTAAATATATATAAAAATAAACTCCCCCCCTCCCTTTTAGTTGAAAATTTATTGTGAAAATAGAAGATATAAGATGTAAGAATAAAGGAAGAAAATGTATTCCAGGGTTGGAATGACAGGTGTTCTCAGAGGACCCAACTGTAGTCAAGGACATCATCTCTCTCTAGTTAACGCAGCTAGAAGAGTATAGCCCATGTGTCAGGCATGCTTTTTGCCCAAAATTGAAGTAAATGTTCACCGACAAAATGGATTAAGCCAACAAGGGACAAATCAAAAATTTTTTTTAAAAAGTGTTCTGCCACTAAAAATGTTAAGACAGAACTGAATTATTATAACAGCAAACAAGGATATATATATGTATGCATACAGTCCTTGGCAGAAAAAATATATATACACATTCATATATACATCTCTCTCTCACATATATCATGTAATTATGTTTATGCTTAAGTATATTTACATATGTTGTAAAATATATAATATGTGCAATTAATTAAGTAATTACATAAAATATAATAGACATGGGGTGCCTAGGTGCTCAGTCTGTTGAGTATCCGATTCATTTTCAGCTCAGGTCATGATCTCAGGGTCGTGAGATGGAGCCCTGTGTCAGTGGGAGTCTGCTGGGGATTCTCTCCCTCTCCCTCTGCTCCCTGCATGTGTTCTTTCTCTCTCTCAAATAAATAAATCTTTGAAAAATATTATAAGCACGTTTTCTATATCATAGATGTAAATATATACGTATGTGACCTTCACATTCAGATTAGGCAGTTACAAGTACATCGATGTGGATAATTGTGTTAACTATAGCTCCCCGCCTATTACTGAGGCTCAGAGCTAAAGGACAGTATTTCCTCCCAGTCCTGTCATGTCATGGAATCTTCCACCTGTCTCTACCTCACACTCAAGACTTCCCCTCACGTTAACTTTGAGCCCGTCTGGATCTGCACTTAGTCAATACACTTACTTGCTGGTAAGTGTAAGCTACCGTTAGTTCTCTCATTCATGGGAAAGAAGAAATCCAGTATTGCATTTCCTGAACTTCATGTTGGCCGCCAGCTTCCTGAAGACACGTGGGTGTGCACATGGGGGACACTGCATAAATGAGTGACTCAATAGCTACGACTTTAGCAACCTGACTCGCTGGTTTCTGTGGTGACAGCGCTGGTCTGGGCACAGAACTCTAGGCTCTGGGGCTCTCTTGCTAAAAATGGCCTGCTCTGCCAACCTCCCACCCACCCGTGTAGCACGTGGCCTTCCCAGCGTGGCCGCTCCACGTGGAAGGCAGCGGGGCCAGCTTTACAGGTTAAGAGAGGGGAAAAGATGGGGGGTAAGAAAAAGTGGGGAAAACACAGAAGATACTGGTGGGCCCCCAGGAAGTGAACTTTTGCCCTGTTCTGTTTCCACACAAGCCTGACCCCATGGTACAACACTATTGTGAATCTCAATTCCATTTTGTCCTGACCCAAGCCACAGCTCTTTGTCCTTAGATGTGGAAGTAAAAGACACTCAGAGACTTTCTAGAGACTTCAGAGTGTTCGAGTGGTAGAGTTTGCAAGGTACATGCCCTGAACGGGGACCCCTTTCGCTTTGGTCCCATTAAAGCCAAACTCAAGGCAGGTGAGTCAGCAGGAAGACAGCACCTGGGAGAGCAGAAATCAAATAGGCAGAATAAAAAAAGCAAAAACCAAATCCTATCTCTAGGCCTTTGTCTGGGGTAAAGCATGCGCTTTCTACCATAGCCTGAATCCTGTTTTGAGAAGTACAGTTGACCCTTGAACAATATACTACAGGGGTCAGGGTCACCAACCCCCTGCAACTGAAAATACATGTATACGTTTTGACTCCCTGGAAATTTTACTAATAATCTATAAGGTTGACTAGAAGCCTTATTGATAACATAAGCAGTTGATTAACATATATTTTGTATGTTGTATATATATTATATACCGTCTTCTTACATTAAAGGAAGCTAGAGAAAAAATGTTATTAAGAAGATCATAAAAGAAAATACATTTACAGTATTGTACTGTATTTACCCCCCAAAATATTCACATGTAAGTGGACCTGCACAATTCAAGCCTGTGTTGTTCAAGAGTCAATTGTATTTGGCTTTTGGTAGGCAACTGTGCTGTCCCATCAGCGACTGTGAACCCCTCAGCCAGTCTTGCTGAAATGACCGCAGACTCACACTTGGCATCCTGTAGCCCCTGCTTAGAACGAAATCCTTAAAGGCAGTGGTTCTATGAAGGTCTGCAAGCGACTCCTCCCAGAAGAAGATCCACATTAAAACAAAAACAATGACCAAAAAAAAAAAAAATGGTCAGCTGTCAGAAGTTTGATTCCCACTTGTCCTAACTAAAAGCAGCCAGCTCTTTATAAAGTACCTCATTTGAAATCACTTCCTTCTCATCTGGGAGTACACGTGTAGATAACATTCACGAGCTGAATATAAAGACTTTCAAAAGATATCCAACTTTCTCTCCTTTCCCTACCCCCTTTTTTCTAACTCTTGTATTAAGGAGAAGCAACACTTTTTAGCAATTAGACAATTATTAAGCCCAGATGTCTGGAATCGAACCTATTTGAGATTGACAAGTGTGATACTGTGATTTTTTAGAAAGACATTTATATTCAGTCTTCTTCCCATTCCTGGCACAGAGCTCCTAAAACCATTGCAATTTCCTAAGTGGTAAGTGCCACAAAGGCTAAAGGAGAATTTTTTGTTATTCATTACCAGCCCCTTTTAACAACACAACAGAAACTGTGTTAACAAGGCGATTTTTGGAAAGCCCTTGGAGAGTCACAGGACGGAGTCCACCTGCCAGAGGAAACAACCGTGTGATGAGAGGGTGGGAACTTCCGCTCCATCCTGCAATCTCGGGCTGAGTGAATCACAGATGACCAGTGACGTAATCAGCCACGCCTACCTACTGAGCCGCCATAAAAGCCCAAAAGGACAGGGTTCAGAGAGCTCCCAGGTTGGTGAGTATGCAGAGGTTTTGGGAGGGGGGCGGTGTGCTCAGGGAGGGCACAGAGGCTCTACACCCTTCTTCATACACCTTGCTCTGTGTATCTGGCTAGTCCTGAGTTATCTCCTTTTACAATAAACCCATAATTTCGTGAGTAAGCGGTTTTCCTGAGCTCTTTGAGCAGATGACAAAACCCGAGGAGGAGGTGTAGGGACCTCCAATGCCCAGCGCGGAAGCACGAGGGAGAACCTGATGTACGATTGGCATCTGAAGTGGGGTTGTGGGACTGAGCCCTTACCCTGTCACGTCTGATGCCAACTCCAGGTAGACAGTCGCAGACTTGAGTTAAATTGTAGGACACTCAGCTTGTGTCTGGAGAATCAGAGAATTCCTTGGTGTCGGGGAAAAAAACCCCTGACACATCTGCTGACCAGAATTGAGAGTAGTAGAGCAAGAAATGAGTGTTTTTTCCACTTGACAATATATTCGTAATTTTGAGATCTGTTAAAAAGGAACACCAGGCCCCAAATGGAGTCCCTTCTGTTAAGCCCCTCCAAGATTTAGTACCTAACCCAGCTGTGGGTTCAGCCTGCCCCAGGAGTGGGATTTTAAACCAGGCAGCCTGGAGTTTCCTGACGAGCACTAGGGAGGTACTCTGCATAAGAACCCAGTCCTTCTTTCTCAGGGAGGTGACTTTGCCTACAACAAACCTGTCTTCTTTTGCTAATACCTTCCTTATCCCACCCCTTTTCTGCCTCTAGAAGCCTTCCATTTCATAAAAGTCCTTGGTGTGTCCTTCTGTTTGTTCGATGAGCTGCTGCCAACTCATGAACCATTGAGTAAAGTCAATCCGATCTTCAACTTTACTTGGTTGAAGTGTTGTTCTTTAACAGATTTGGTGGCAGCGGTGGGACCGAAGGAGACTTCCAGTGGTGTTGGGGACAACAAGAAACAGGTGTGGAGCCTGAGAACACTGAGTTCTCTGTCTTTCTTGCTGCTCCTGAGGGCCTCTGGGAAGTTCCTCTGGTTCTGAGCTCCACTTTCTGCTTTAAGCTCCTGATCTGATCAGCTCTCCACATCCCCCACCCACTGGAAACCCCCAGCTCTATTGGGGGTTCTGTCACCAGATCCACGTTTGCAGCTGTGGTTCCCCATTTATTTGGGATCCATCCATACGCCCCCCCATTCTTTGGGGTCTCCTGGTTCAGTCCTTTTTCTGGTCTCCAGGTTCCACACAGGGAACTGCTGGTTACTGGGTCCAACTTAAAAGCCAGACTGGATTGGATTTGGGACTGGACTAGGTCTGATTTGAGCTGATCTGTGTCTGCTTTGGGCTGGACAGGCCCAGTGGGAGGCCTCAGATATTCAGGCTTAAATAAGGGCTTATTGCTAATGATCATCTCAGAAGTCACGATGAAAAGACTGGTGGACAGAAGTTGTGCATCTAAAGGTTCTTAGAGTGTTTTCCACTTTGAGAAGACCCCTGCGATAGGCCCTCTTAGGTAGAGGTTTGGCTCCAAGAAACCCAAAGGCCTAACTGAAAGAAATGGGACCCTTTTTATCCAGATATCCACATGCCTGCATGCTTGCTTATTTTATGTCTAAGAACTCTGTTCCCAGAAGCTGCAGATATCTAGCAAAATAGCAATATTTTACTAAAAATGACATTAGAATTACAATTACAAATTAGAAATAGAGTTACAAAAGCCATTATGGGGAATGTCCCGGTGGGACAAGATCACTCATCTAAGAAATGCACTTGAGAGCGAGAGGGTCCCAAGTTGAAAATACGGAACGGGACGCCTATTCAACTGGTACACAGAAGCCTCGAAAAGGTTTGAAGTTTCCAAAATAACGTCATTGAACTACGTCATTACAGAAAGCCAATGAAAAATTAAGAGACACAAGAGGTACCTAAAATAAAAGACCGTAGGACTCGGGCGACTCCTGTTGCTCCCCTCTGTCCTTTTTCACCCAAGAACCCATGGCTTACTAATCCTCTGAACACCCGTTCCACTCGGAAGAGACTCTTGGACAGTTGTCTTTGAAAATAAAACTACTCAAGGTTGTAAACGAACCTCTCAGTTATCGGTCACTTCTTGGTCAAAGACTGAGCTAATGGTCATAATTAAAGAACTTCCTAAACCTAGGGAGGAAGCCCAGAAGTTTTTTGGAGAATTTGAGTCATTCTCAGGGCCCCGGACCCCAGCTGCCCAGTCTTTGTCAGCCTGTACCCATGTTGGTAGGACCTGGTGAAGTCCAAAAATGGATTCAGAAAGCAAGACCGCAAACCCCCGTGGATGGTGTTCGAGATCCTTGGTCTTCAACATCTCAAGGACCACAAGAAGTTCACAAAATAGAAGCCGAACTTTTACAAGCCATTCCCGGAGACTTCAGACAGGTGTAACCAAACCAAACCTAAATTACCTCACTAACCATTAAATCCTGGGGCCATGCAAGACCTCACACCCATTGCCTCATTGCCAAGAAGACCTCATTGCCTGGGGGCTAATCGTCCCTTGTACCATTTCCTACAGCTGACCTCACCAGTCTGGAAACATCATGGACAGGATGCTGACTTTTCCAGGATTTGGGATCCATTCATAAGTCAGTGATTCCCCATCTCCCCGTCATTCCAAACCTGGACACCTTTCTGTCACGAGTTCCACCAGACTCAAAATGGTCCACTGCTGTGGACCTCTGTTCAGCCTTTTCAACACCCCTGGTGATCCCAACAACCCCATTTGCCTCCCTTGTACTGTCAACACTCTACCTGCACAGTGATGCCTCAGGGGGTCATGACGCCCCTTCTTACTTCTCTCCAGCACTTCACCAAAATTTAAGCAACACTCAGTTCCTTGGGAAATCCACCCTTTTGCAATCCGTAGATGACCTCTTGCTACTTTCAGCCTCCAAACAGGAGTTCATAGAAGATTCCACTGATTTGCTAGAGCAGTTAGCTGTAAAGGGACACAAAGTCTCTAAGGAAAAATCACAATTATCTCTAGACCCTGTTCATTACCTGGGTCATTGTCGAAGCCCTGAATCTCCCAAAAGAATGAAGCTAGTCCAGGAATTTCCTACACGCACAACTAGGTGACTAGTGGGTAACTAGGCTTGACCAGCTCTTGCAGATGATGGGCTCTTACTTTTTCGCTATTAGCTACCCCAGTCTACGAACTTACTAAAATTTCAGTCCCTGAACACTTTCCTTGGGAAGACAACTGTGAGCAGGCTTTCAGGAGACTGAGACAAGCACTCTAAGACCCACCTGCCTCAGGGCCACCTCACTGTGCAAATCCTTTCAGCCTATTCGTGCAGGAAGGGGATACTCAAGCCCTGGGAAGGCTCACTGAAGGGCAGGGTAGTAACCAGAAGCCTGGGACCCAGTACAGCACACAGCCTGGTTCTGTCGCTCCTGCCTAGCCCAGCTGTCTTTTTTTTTTTTCTTTAGTATTTTATTTATTTATATGACAGACAGAGATCACAGTAGGCAGAGAGGCAGGCAGAGAGAGAGGAGGAAGTAGGCTCCCAGCCGAGCAGAGATCCCGATGTGGGGCTCGATCCCAGGACCCTGAGATCACGACCTGAGCCGAAGGCAGAGGCTTTAACCCACTGAGCCACCCAGGCGCCCCTAGCCCAGCTGTCTTACGGCTATGGTCACAGCTGCAAGGCGAGAATGGCAGTCTCACCATATGTGACCCTAGGAAATGATGTTTATTTGCAAACTGCACACACTGTCCAAAGTCTCCTTAACTCAGAATCGACTCAACATTTCTTGCGGGTAGACTAACTTCTTAAGAGATCCTTCTGCGTTCACCGCCTACTCTGAGTCTTAGACGTTGCAACACCCTTAATCCCACTACATTACCGCCTCTACCTGAGGAAGTCAAGTCCGTGACTACAAGACACTAGCGTCCCATTTTGTGGTAGCACGTCCTGATTTATGAGATACTCCTTGAACTGCTCCTGATCGCATCCCCGTGCATGGGTCATACCGTAGAAATGAAAAAGAGGATTTTCAGTCTAGCTGAATGATTCCTATCCAAGATGACCTACTCCAAGGGGAACCTTCCCTAAGCTCCAACCACGCAACAAACAGTGCTCCGTGCCCTTACCCGGGCAGGCCAACTATCAGCGTTATAGCCAGCCTGCCTCTGGGGTCATCCAGGATTTAGGGATGTTACAGAAACAAAGGGGCTTCCTTATGTCCTCTGGGACTCAATCAAAAATGGGCAACAGGTAGACGATCTCCTTACTGCTAGTCTCTTACCTCCTGAAACTGTCATCAAAACGGAGGCTCATAATAAAAGACTGAAACCTGAGTGTCAGAGAAATACCCCAGCTGACTTTCGTGCAAAGGCAGCAGCAAATAAATCTATAAAGACTGTGGCATGTGTGAATGAAATCCACTCTGCTTCTGCAAAACAATGAGCCGTCCTCACCAGATTTTGGCCACCCTGACCTCCTTGTCCCACGGCAACAGTCTGCGCCTGAATCAGAAATGAAGACGGGTCAACAAGGGCTGGGCCTGTGGGAAACTCAAGGCACCTGCTGGGTAATTCCTGGCTCATGACAAACCCCACTTTTTGGTTTTTGCCTTACCGAACCCACTCCAGGACGTTTAAGATGAACTTGAACTGGGAACTGACATTAGTGGGGAGACATCCAAAGTGCCAAGACAGTCTGCACTGAGATGCAACAGGCCAGCTTCATAAGCCTAGAAAAACTCTTTTGGTCTCCAAGGGCCTCAGACCCCTCCCTCTGGACCCTCGGGACACCCGCAGCTGGACTCCTTCCTCCAGCTGCGCCGTAGCGTGGGTCACCGCTCTGTCTGCTCCCGTGCGTGCTGTCTGGGTGGGGGCCAGCCTTCCCCGGCTGCAAGGCGGACGTCCTCGTGATGGCGAAGAAACCGTCAGAGAATGAGTTTCCCACTTGGGGCATAGCTTCCACGATCTCCAGCGGTCGAGGCAGCCACTTTACTTGGCAAAGTCTATGAGGCTTAATGAAAACCTTGCCAGCTTTTTGGAACTAGCATTGCCTTTATCGCTCGGACTCATCAGGCCAGGTTGAGAGAACTCATGGGATCCTCAAACTTAACATTTCTTTCTTTTTTTTTTTTTT